TGTCGGTCTGTTAGAATGGTGACAACTTCGTTGGGGAATCATCCTATGAGAAGGATTTTTGGGAGATTTTTCACTGCCCCTAGTAGCAAGTGTTTGTGGCACTTCCTGGAAATGTTCGACTGTACGTAACCCTTTGTCGGGATTGGTGTTCAATGCTCCAAGTGACAGGGATGGAGACCTCCCCCTGGTTACTCTGCAATTCTTGAGAGATTTCTTAGAATCTTGACTGGATTGCCCCAGGTATGTTGGATAGTGACATGTCATCCCCCCTATTGATAGGAGATTTGCCAATGGAAGTGTCATCCTTCTTGAATTGATTTTGTTCACTGAGAGAGATTTCGTTCACTGGATATCGTGTGAATTTCTCGGTTGCCAAACAAATAGCCATATGCAAACAGTGATATTCAAGTAATGCAAAGTTTATGTTTGTCTTAAAATTCTTTTGAAAATGCGTTTTAGCGAGTAAAGAAATTTTGCTAAGAAAATTCAAACTCAGGATTTAGAGAAAAGCCTTACAGGAGTCAGGAGACCTTTTGTAACAGTATGCTTTCGAACTAACCCATGCTTCAATTAGGACTTTTGAAGGGTTGTAATGTGGCTTGGTTCACGGTTTAAGAAACAAAGGATAAAGGCTCAAAGTATATTTGTACCCGCCCGTTCTTCATGATGTTCTTCAGTCCTAAACTCATATAATTACGCGTTTGAACTCCAAATGAGTCTGGAATGACGTCTTGGTGATGGTTTAGACAAGTTAAATTTGTCGGAAGGCAGTCATTTTTGCAACATTTTTCATGTTGTTGGGGATTTGTAGCGACCTCTTTTTTTTATTCGTTATCCCTAATTTTTGCCTGACTGATCTTGTTTTGAGATTACAGTCAGCGGGATGCCCCGGTTTTTCTTTAAGTCTCCTTTGTAGGTTTTGACTTAGTGGCCTTTCTTTTTTGAGAGATAATGACTGCCTATGTGATAGGGAACCATCACCGTCTTTTAATTCCAGAGGAATGTTTCTTGACGTCATTCGTTGTATTACGAGATGAGAGTTTATGGCTTAACGCGCGTTTGAATTAACTGAGAGACTACCCGGCCCCAGTTTTCGATTAAAGGTTTCAATTTGTGTTAAAATAGAAAAATTCTACTTCTTTGGATCGAAGGGGTTGACTAGGGATTATCTTCCTTATAACTCCAGTGTTTAGGATTTGAAGGAATTCTTGTACATCATTAGCAAGGTCTGTTCAAAAGCATATTGTATAAGATCATGGCATTATTTTCGTCATCCTCCCTATAAAGGATTGTAACTTTTAGCAAGATTTGAATGTCATAAAGAGTAAAAAACATAGCTTAAATGTAATGAAAATGAGTGGATCAAATCAAGACAAACATATGCAGTGCATTAATGAAACAAAGTTTGACATTAATAGATAATTGTTTGAATAACAAAAGAGATTACAACTTGAAAATTCAAATGAAACAGAAGTTTCTTTAAACGTGTCACTTTAGGTGGTGAGCCTTTGAGGAACGACTGAAGAACTCAGTTTGGCCATCTTATGTGAACTCCAGAATTCCTTCGTCGATCAGGTTTTGAATCTTGTACTTCAGTGCCCAACAGTCGTTAGTATCGTGCCCCGGGCTGTCAGAATGATAAGCACACCTTGCCTCCGGATTGTAGTTAGTAGAGGAAGTCTTCAGGCTCGGATGAGGGTTTATCATTGTAATCAGCTTCATCTTCAACATGTGTTGCAATGCTTCTGACTGTGGCATGTTGATTTGGGTGAAATTCCTTTGAGGTCTTTCCACCCTTGGCTGATTGTTTCGTTGCTGTTGGCGAGGTTGTTGTTGGACCCGTGAGGTAGTAGCAAATTGGGGAGGTCTTCCGGCTTCTTGTCTCATGGGAGGCTGAGAAGTGACCTGATTTCAATCCTGATTGTTTGCCCTATACGGTTGCAACCGTCTTGATGAAGTTGGTTGATAAGAACTTTCAGCTCTTCTTGTCGTTGAGCCAGATTTTGGATAAGAGCCATCTGGCCCACCAGCTGTCCCATCATTTGGACCTTCATTATGGCTATCTCGGTTTGAAGCTGTTCCAACTGGTCATCTTTGTTGCCCTCAGGATTCCCCATGGTCATGCCCCTAGTGAGGAGAGCTTTCACCTCTTCTTTCCCCTTGGATAGGTTCAAGAACATCTCTTGAAGTTGAGTGTTTTGAGCCTGGATGTCCTTGATAGTCTGCTCTAGAGCCATCTCTACTGAAATAAACAGTAGGAAGATAAGGAGACCTGTGTGGGAGAAGCCTGTCATGATATGATGCATGATATGTGGATGCATGTTTTCAAGGATCTCGTGGGGTAAATACAAGAAAAAAGTTAGAAGTTGAACTTTGATCAACAACTTTTGTTTGGAGAACTTTGTATTGGTGGATGTCCTTCCACGAGAACTAAGCTCACCATGTCAAGTGGGTCATAGCCCTTGACTCAAGTTTGTTGTACTTGATCTTTGACGGTGTTTGGTCAGAGGAAAATAAATCCCTCTGCCCCTTGCTAGACGTTTGGTTCATCATAACCTGCATCAAAGACCCTCGAGATCCTTGAAATGGTTATTAAAAGTGCTATGGTATGATGTTATGTACAAGTATGCGAGGTAAGCAAGTGTATATACAAATAATCATATTCACACAAAGCAGACAAGTCCTTAGGTTTAGGCTTGCATGGAGTTTGTAGGTAAGTACCCTCTTGAAGTTTAGTTGGCTCAACCTGTCCTAGTTAATAGTAAATGGGTTCTAAGGGATCTCAATATCACTGACCTTTCCCACAAGCTTTGTTTAATAAGCAATTGACTCGCAACCAAACAAAACTCAAGGGTCAAGTCTCAATGAGTGTAGCATCGAGTATCAACCAATTTTCAGCTTTACACCGGAACCGGCTATCTCACTACTTCCTAATGGCCAAGTTGGTCAAGTAAGGTTCTAAGGTCAGTTGATGCTTCACGATACCACGCGGCGGCCCTATACTCTCCTTGACTGACTCAAGGGTTATTGGTACCAACCAAAGTTCCACATCAACTTAGCTACTACTTTAACCGTGTCGGTATATGCCGCACAGTTCCCTCACAATTTATTGCTACTTACCTAAAATGTGTCCCCAAATTCGGGTGTAGGATTTAAAATAAACCCAAACGAGGAACCATAATGTAAAGCAAACAAATCAAACAGTGTAAGCAAGTAAATATGATCTAACCCTAAGGTAACCCCACTTTTAAGTAACTCCCCAGCAAATTCGGCAGTTCTGTGATACGGTGGGAGAACTGACTTGAGGGTTTTGCGTTTTATCGCAAATGTTGCGGTTTAGCAAGAGTCGCCACTGACTTTTCTTTTATCCAAAACGAAAGGTGAAAAAGCACAGGAAAGACCTTTGAGATTGTTTCTTGAGTTCGGGGGGAAGATTATGAAAAGGGAAGGTATTAGCACCCTTTTCATCCATGGTTTTCCATGGGCTCTTAGTTACTTGCGAGATCACTTGATTTTTTGTTTGAAGGTGCTTGTGTGTGGTTTTTTGAAATTATTTTGAAAACGTAACTTTGTAATGATTCTCGTTTCTATAAGAATGCATACAAAAGTGTTTGTTTCATAAATAGTTCAAAGATGTGTTTTTGAGATGGGTTTTTGAAAGTGATTTTGAAAACGTCTTTGCAACGGTTCTCGTCTCTAAAAGAACGCGTACAAAGTGTTTGTTTCGAAAATGTTTCAAAGTGGAAGTGTAGGTGTATGAAAAGTTTTTGTTGTGAGAAAGCAAGTAACCGAGAGCGAACCTACCTACTCAAAAAGGTCTTAGATATGCTTTTCCTCCTCCTTTAGATGTTGCTATCTTACCATTGTTTTGGTAAGAAGCCCCATCATTGGATGTGAAGGGACAGGCGTTTGGGTCATCGTATGACCATGATAGCAATGTTGTGAGATGACTTAGCACTTTTCTTTTAGGGACTAAGATCATTTTGAAAGGCAACTTTGATAGCATCATCGAGGGACTATGATCCTTTTTTTTCAATTCGATGGTGCTAAGACATCCCATATGTATAACATGGCCATTTTTAGGCAACAAGCACTACAAGAAAATTAGTGTTTAACGACACAAAAATTGCGACAGTTATGTGATAACTGTCGTAATTGACATATAGAGACAGTGTTTACGACAGTTGACACCAACCGTCCCTAATATTTATTTTGTGACGGTATATTTAACCATCATAATATTATTATTACGACGGTAAAACAACCGTCGGCCCCCATTTAACACTTTTAACATTGATTTTTCACCAACAACTAGTCACGATGGTAAAATTAACCGTCCTAAAAGGCATATCACGACGGTAAAGCACCCGTCGCACCCTTAAACCTTTCACGACGGTAAAATTATCCGTCCTAAAATTCATTTCACGACGGTAAAACAACCGTCGCACCCAAAACCTTTAAAAATTCTCACGGGCACGACGGTAAAACACCCGTCGCCGTAAAAAAGTTAAAAAGCTCTTAAAATACATAAAACATCAATTCACTTTCTACTCCGTAAACATTATAAATATCACTAAATAAAGTTTATTACCACCGTGAGCCACCCTAACCACTCATATTTACTAAGATATAAGAATATCCCATCCAAGTGAGGTAACTCACATGGACTTTTATGGAGTTTTTTGATAAGTAGATTTTGGTTTTTCTTTTTATATTTTTAAAAGACCAGTGTTTCATTTTTCCCATTTTAAAAAACTTTTTTACCATGCATTTTATTTGCTAGTATATTCTCTAGCAATCCAAGTTCCAAATCATAAATTGCTATTTTTCACTTATCCCTACCGCAAACAAGGAACCCGAAACCCAAACTCTCATTCCGCCACAGACCACTCTCAACTATCTTCAGTTCCCCCAAAATTTTCAAACCTCTTTCGCTTCCTCATCTCACAACCACCACCAATTTCTCAGTTTCGTCAATTTTCGGTTTTCATACCTTCGAAATGGAGAATCTTAACTTAGCCCTTGTTTCTTCCCCTAAACCTCTGCTTCTGGGACATTCCTCCTCAAAAAATGTCTTCACAATAAGAAAGCCTTTCGCTTTTGGGACTTTTCGCGTTTCTGCTAACTCTTCATCCTCTCATGTCACCAGGGCTGCTTCTAAATCTCACCAAAATCTAAAATCTGGTAATCTTATGAATATGATTTTTGCTTACCAGAAATAGGGTTATTAGGTTATGATGTACTTGAATGAAATGTATGTAATTATATTGAAATTGAAGTTGAATCGACATAGTTATAATGAAAATTTCCATGCAAATTGAATGTATTTCAATGTTTTGCACTCATGTCTGAAGAGGCATTCATAAGTAATACATGCTCGGAATTCAGTGCAGGGGAAGGTCACTGTGCATACTTTTGCTAGCATTTCTTCTTCAAATAGTCAGGAAACAACATCAGTGAGAAGGCTTATGAGGTAACTCTATCTATCTATCTGTTGATGTGTTTATCTAAATTTCATGTGTTTGATAGTGCGCATCGATGATTGTTATATATCTTCAATGTAACTTCTTTGATTTCCTCAGGATGGAAGAACAATAGTGGAGAGTAAGACAGCAGACCTGAGATCTCAAATCAGGCGAAAAGGTGACACAAACCAAGCTTCAAGTATAAGGAATCCATGGCAGCAATCAGATCAGACACAGTCTCATTCTAATCATGAAACACAACTTAAGCAATCCCGAGACGTAAGGTGCCAACTGTGTAATCATGTATAATGGTTGCAGTCTCGTTAGTTGTTATAGTGTAGGCATAGATGATAGAACATCTTATAATGATTTTGGAATTGTTAATACATTTTAACTTAGTAGAATCTGTTCTTAGTCCCTCTCATGTGATGAATTTAAATTTAGTTCACATATGGAACATACATATTCTACTATCCAAGTTCTGTTAAATTCTTATGTAACCAAACAAGCTACATTTTCTTTTGTTTTGATTTCAGGTGGCATTGGCAACAGCAGCAAAAGCAAAATTACTTCTTCGTGAGCTAAAAACCGTTAAAGCGGATTTAGCATTTGCTAAAGCGCGCTGTGCTCAACTTGAAGAAGAAAATAAATTACTCAGGGAACGAGAAGGAAGCGATAAGGGACTTATCCGTGATGATGATGATCTGGTATTAATCAGTTTGTTGTTTACCTATTTGAATTTGCATTTAGAAGCCAAAGAAATTTGAAAGTGCCATGTTATTATGTAATGTAGCATTAGCCTCTCTCTTTTGAAGCAACTATGCTACATTATAAGGTAGAAGCATGCATAAAATTAACATCATGTATATGCATAATGCATTATTATTACTACTACATTTTGAACTTGAGGTCTGGTACTAAATTTGTGATCTACTCAGATCTGCAGCAAAATGATCACACTTTTTGTTTATAGGGTTATAGTCTTAGATGAGATTCTCTTGTTTTGAGAAATATATGCATGTTTTCTAACATACATTCATTTATTTATTCTACCTGATTGCAATGTGAGGACTGGGGAATTAAGACCATGGGAGTATTTGATACTCATGTTTTGTGTGTAAATTTCCTGTCACTGTGTCTGTGAGGAGGTTGGTTTGGAAAACTCCTTCATTACAAATATTCGACATTGTATTAACATTTTGAATTCAGTGCAGGGGAAGGTCACTGCGCATACTTTTGCTAGCATTTCTTCTTCGAATGTGTAATCATACTATTTTTTCTTTCACATTTTGAATTTCCTGTAGATGTTTTATACCATGTCATATGATTGCCATTTGTCAAACTACTTGTTTGGAAGGGAGATGATTTTATATATATATATATATATATATATATATATATATATATATATATATATATATATATATATATATATATATATATATATATATATATATATATATATATATATATATATATATATATATATATATATATATATATATATATATATATATATATATATATATATATATATATATATATATATATATATATATATATATTTATTTGATGTTGTTTATCAATTTCGCTTATATATTCTAATTTGGATTTATTTGTTCACAATGTTTGTAGAGGGTCGCCACTCTTTTGGATTGGTGTTGGTGTTGGGTTTTCTGCACTATTTTCAGTGGTGAGAACCATAGTCAAAACTCAGTTTTATATATACTGATGTTTATTTTTCTTCATTTTTATTTATGTTCAATATATTAAGGTCCATTTCTTTTTGGCAGATAGCTTCAAGATTAAAGGTGAGTTCCACTTTACTGCGTGGCTTGGGTTTAAACTGGTCTGTCATTTGAGTTCTATGGTAAGATATTGGGAGCATATCAAGTCAGATGAATGATTTATTGGCCGAGGGAAAGGAACAAGTCTTTTCACCTTCAAATTTTACACGAAGTTGCAACAAATGTTTTTTGTCAAACCTTATCTTTTGTAGTTTCTTTGTAGAACTAGCAACAACTAACCTTGTAACTCTTTGGTACCCTTTTCATACAATTTCAACATTTGTGTTTTAATCTTTTTTCAGAAATATGCAATGCAACAAGCTTTAAACACCATGATGGGCCAGATGAATACACAAAATAATAATCCATTTGACAGTGGTGCCTTTTCCCCTGGATCTCCCTTCCCCTTTCCCATGCCTTCAGCTTCAGGGCCCGCTACACCTGCTGGCTTTGCTGGTAATCAATCTCAAGTAACTTCTGCACGAACTGCCTCTCAATCTACTGTCACAGTAGACATACCTTCAACCAAAGTAGAAGCAGCAGCCTCGGCCCCAGACATTAATGTTAAAGAAGAAGTGGAAGTAAAGAATGAACCAAAAAAATCCGGTAACATACAATCTCTGTTCATGACTCCCATTCTTCTTCTTGTTGGATGACATGTACTACATTTGCAATTTATAAGTAGTGTGATTCCGTGTCCACTATCAGATGTATATGTGGCTCTACGAATTTAAGTAAAAGCTGTACCCAAATCACTGTTGTCGATTGGTTCATCCTACCATAGGACGCATTACTAGTCTTTCCATGTATACTATCTTGCAACTTTCTTTTTGTTATAAACTTATAATAGCTTGAGTGAGCCTATGCCACATCATTATTTTTAAGCTTTGCTTGCATGCAAGTATCCTCTGACAAACTTGATAGTGCTCCCTAAATAGACATCAGCTGTTTTAGTTTTCCGTTGAATGCGTCACTAACTAATGTCTAATTGTCAGGTGAATGTCTTTGAATTTATGTCTGTATCATTTGGGATTATTCATTAGTGTGTGCATACCTATTATTTTCTCAATCTCGCTTGCATGCTATCATGTTAGTTAATGGATCTACAGTTTCTTAAGTCGCTTGTAATGGAAACATACTGCTTTGAATTATAACAAATTGTGAAGCGTGTCCATATAAATTTGCTGGAATTAAAATTTTCCTGATAAATATTTATTTATTGCAGCTTTTGTAGATGTGTCTCCAGAAGAAACTGTGCAGAAGAATGCTTTTGAAAGATTTAAAGATGTTGATGAATCAAGTTCATTCAAGGAAGCCCGTGCTCTAGCTGAAGTGAGTTTACAATTCTAGTTTTTTCTAAATATGTTTAGTGATTTGTCTTACCCTTAACATGTAATAACAATGGATATTATTGAAGGCTTCTCAAAATGGAGCTCCTTTTAACCAAGGTTTTGGCAATTCACCCGGTTCTCTATCTGCACGTAAGTAAGGAGTCAGTTGAAATTGAAAATATTTACATATCTGCTTTATTGCTGAAACCCTGTGTAGTGTAATACATCTATTCAAGCGATTTCAAGGAAATATAATGGCACAATGTAGACCGGGCCTGTTAAATAGATGACTGTTCATGTTATTATAGTCGTGTATATTGATTTAATATATATGTCATCATCGATTTTACGTAGGATTATGTAAACTTACCATTGTCCTTGTACTTTTGATGATTTGATCTTCTATATAAAAGCCTTTCTTGTCAATATCATTTACTTTTGACCCTGTGGTAGGATCTAAGTTGGGAGAATTCTCTCCTATTCTATCATATTTCTTAATAAAAAAAGTGTTCTTTCTTTGGAACCCAATTCTTGGGTTTCTAACACATTGCATACTGATTTCCAGTCCCTGGGTTAAAACAGCGTCATAAATCACACATGAGTAATTACTAGTCGCATTGTTTTCTTCTCAGATTGACATTATTGGCTGCAATTAATTTATACCTTTTTTTTTATCATATAACACATTGTGTTTGTAATATTTGTTCTTTTAAAGTTGTCATAAATGAGCTTCTGTGCTTGTATGAATTAACCAAATGTTCTTAATGACCTTGTTTTTTTTGGATAGAAAAATCAGTCTTATCGGTGGATGCTTTAGAGAAAATGATGGAGGACCCAACAGTGCAGAAGATGGTTTATCCGTAATATTAGCTCCTTTTATCTTTTAATAATGATTATTTTTCATTTCTAGTGAGCACAGATAAGTTTTAAACTTCAAGTAAATCCTATTTTTTGGATATATAAAAAAAGGTTACATAAATTGCTTAAGCGTGTTGTTCTGTCTAATCTTAGAAATGCGTATGACAGTAGTACCAAGTATCAACAGTACCTATAATACTCTACATTGGACTTAGAAGTAGTTCCATTCTGTATTTTTATATTGAACTACTTTGGAAGTTGTGACGTGTCTTAAGATCTACCAGAGCCTTTTATTGTTTATTTCCCACATTCTATTGAAAGTTTTTGCATCCAAAGTTTTCCGCAAAAACCAGTGCTTCTGTTTAAATTCTTCCCTTTCCAATTAACCTCATTTATCTCCAAAAGACTGTGTATTAGGTTTCCTACTGCTCTTTGAATTGCTTACAATTGAGTGGAACTTGTTGGTTCTCCCCTCTATTCCTATATTCTCAAAATGAACGAACAGATTTCCGATGCGTTTTGCGTCATGGCCCCTTGATAAAAATTTATATGTTTGCATGCTTGTTTAATGTTTATATTATTCAATTTGTTTTCCTTTTTATTCAAAAGAAGGCTCATAATTTGTGGGCACTGTTGCAGCTATTTACCTGAGGAGATGAGGAAGCCTTCTACCTTCAAATGTAATTCTCTTAACAGTTTTCTTGCTTCTGGTTCTATGCAATGTCAATCAATGTTATTAAGATTGATTATAATGTGGGCACCATGATTTTCTTAGTTTAGTGCCTTCATTGAAATAACTAACACAAAACCACATTTGAGCATACTCATTGTTACTTACATATACAATACTTCCTATATACGACACATTTATATGGGTGTCTTTTCATTCATTATTACTAGTACCATGTATTATAATGGAAGCACTATTTATGTTGGTTAAATTAAGTCTGCTGATCAAAACTCAAAATCATGTTTGTCACTTTCAACTGCTAGATGATAATTTCTACATGACATGTTAATAAATTTGGCCGATGGATAGTTGATGTACTGTTGCTGCTTTTGGCAGGGATGCTGCAGAATCCTGAGTACCGTCAACGACTTGAAGAAATGCTGTAAGTTCTTTATATTGTACTAGTATCTTCCAAGCCTTTTTTTGTCCACCGATATTTTCTTGCTCCATGTATCTAGGTGATTTTATTTGTAAACATAAAGGTTTGTTTGCTTTTAAGGAACATTTTCTGTATTCACTCTTAATTACAAAAATGTTGTCTTGTCTTACCTCTGTTTTCTATTTTCAAAGTTTCTTATAGGAAGCAATGAAAACAATAGAATTTTCACTATTTCATATGCAAACCTTTGAAAACACAAAATTAAGTGAAAAGGTGGTGCTTTGGTTTGGTAAATGAAATAAAATAAAAAGGCCCTAAGCTTTTGGTGAAGTGCTTACTTACATTGCTTTGTCTGACGATTATACAAAAACTAGTTTTCTGGTGAATGGAAACATTCACTAAGGAAAGTTAGTTTTCCTCTTTCTGAAGTCATCATTTCTTTCATTTGTCAGTGAAGTACAAGTGGCTATTAGCCCCCCATTCCGTTAAATCTATTAGTTAAGTTTGAGCAGTGTTGTCGATGGCGGAGAGCCAAATCCCGCCATACCGGCCGCTCTGCGGCGCCATTGTAGCGGATTATGGCAAAAAAACCTGCAATATCGGCTGATACTTACCATTACGTCGAGCCTAAAAACCGCCATGTATATCCATCATAGCGCCCATGGCGCTGCTATTTGTTAACACTGAATCTGACTCCCTATTCTTTACCTAACAAAACCTAACATTTGGAATTAGGATAAATGTCAGTCCTGGAGGAAATTAAATGATCATTCTTCTGCTTTTGTACAATAACCTTTTGTTTGAGTTTACTTATGACTGGATTCATGGTCACTACGTTGATTTTAGACCTAAAGTTGCAGAGAAATGTAAATCTTATTTGTTATTTCTCACTAAAGTGTCATTCTATGTGCTGCAGTTATATAAATCAATGTATTTTCTAGTAATATATTGGTAAACTGTATTCTCTGGCCACTAGGGATTCACACATCCTTTCTTTTTCTCCTATATATTTGGTTTCAGAAACAACATGGGTGGAGGCACTGAATGGGACAGTCGAATGATGGACACCTTAAAGAATTTCGACCTTAATAGTCCTGCTGTTAAACAACAATTTGGTATGTCTCACATTTTACAAGAGATGTCTTTTTTGAGAGATGGATCAATTCTTTAATTCTTTCTACATTCTCCTTTCATGTTTTCTAACATTTTATATTATCACTTTCATCAGATCAAATTGGGCTTTCTCCAGAAGAAGTCATTTCAAAGATTATGACCAATCCTGATGTTGCCATGGCATTTCAAAATCCTAGAGTTCAAGCAGCTATCATGGATGTAAGTTCTACTTTAAGTACCACTTCATTAATATTTCATATCAAATCTCTGAGTGCTTCTTGTTTTGGTTGCAGTGTTCACAGAATCCAATGAGTATTGCTAAATATCAAAATGATAAGGAGGTATTATGATACCTTCAATTTGTCTTTCTTGGAAGCATTTTTAGCCTCTTGTACATTGAATTTTACATTTCCGTCTTTCTCTTTACGTTTCAGGTCATGGATGTCTTCTATAAAATATCTGAACTCTTCCCTGGAGTTTCAGGCCCCCCTTGATTTCAATTTGTTTGTTGGTCAAGATAAAATATTTGCCAAGTTATTCACGCCTTTCCGGATGACTGATGAGGATTTGTATTAGCTAGTTGTGTCTCACCATAAGGAGTTTGTGCTCATGATGGAAACATACTGCTTTGAATTATAACAAATTGTGAAGTGTGTCCATATAAATTTGCTGGAATTAAAATTTTCCTGATAAATATTTATTTATTGCAGCTTTTGTAGATGTGTCTCCAGAAGAAACTGTGCAGAAGAATGCTTTTGAAAGATTTAAAGATGTTGATGAATCAAGTTCATTCAAGGAAGCCCGTGCTCTAGCTGAAGTGAGTTTACAATTCTAGTTTTTTCTAAATATGTTTAGTGATTTGTCTTACCCTTAACATGTAATAACAATGGATATTATTGAAGGCTTCTCAAAATGGAGCTCCTTTTAACCAAGGTTTTGGCAATTCACCCGGTTCTCTATCTGCACGTAAGTAAGGAGTCAGTTGAAATTGAAAATATTTACATATCTGCTTTATTGTTGAAACCCTGTGTAGTGTAATACATCTATTCAAGCGATTTCAAGGAAATATAATGGCACAATGTAGACCGGGCCTGTTAAATAGATGACTGTTCATGTTATTATAGTCGTGCATATTGATTTAATATATCTGTCATCATCGATTTTACGTAGGATTATGTAAACTTACCATTGTCCTTGTACTTTTGATGATTTGATCTTCTATATAAAAGCCTTTCTTGTCAATATCATTTACTTTTGACCCTGTGGTAGGATCTAAGTTGGGAGAATTCTCTCCTATTCTATCATATTTCTTAATAAAAAAGTGTTCTTTCTTTGGAACTCAATTCTTGGGTTTCTAACACATTGCATACTGATTTCCAGTCCCTAGGTTAAAACAGCGTCATAAATCATAAAGGAAATGCAAGAAGAAATTAATGCACTTAAAGAAAAGAATTCAAAAATTGATTAATTAACACAGGCAATCATATTCTTAACGCAAAGGGACAAGGCGAGGACAAAGAAAATTGAACTCTTAATGCAAATGCAGAATTTTAGTGGAAGACAGGTATATTATTTTGACGCATTTAAAGTTAAATTTTATGAGTATTATTTTAAAGATTATTATTTTAATACATTTTTTTAGGGATTGGAATCACCCACTGATGGTAGACGTTCATCTGAGTCTAGCTACCGTATTGGAGATAATGGAACTTCAGGGGGGACAAATTAGACTTTGCTATGATCGAGATAATTAGATTGTGAACTTTCTCATGTATTTTTGGCATAATGATACTTATTATTATAAGATTAGGAATTGATATATTTTGGGTTTTTTGTACTACTTGACATGATTATGGAACTCGCATTTTACATGATTATGGAACACACATTTTTTTGGATATTATAATGCTTATTTGATGTTAAATATTTTTTATTGAAATTATTTTTACTATATTACAAAGTGATAGAAAATAAAACAAAAAATAATACTATAAATAAATATATTAAAGAAGAAATAATTTAAAGAAAAAAATAACACAAAAAAAACTATATTTAAAATTTTTTACATAGATAATAATTTAAATAAAAAATATATATAATAGAAAAATAAAAAAAAATCAAGACATAAACAAAAGTCATGGCGATAGTACCGAACCGTCGTAATCAACAATTAAAAATAATCAACAAAAGTCATGACGGTATCGAACCGTCGCCATAAACAATTTAATCAATTTCAAAAGATATTCACGACAGTATCGAACCGTCGCCATCAATAATTAAAAGAAACTCAAAAGATAGTCACGACGGTATCAACCCGTCGTAAACTTGAACGACAGTTTTTGTAACCGTCGTGAAATAGGTTGGGGACACACACTTCTGCGACGGTAAAGAAACCGTCGTGGAAAGCAAATTGCGACGGTTTTAACCGTCGTAATCTACAAAAATACCTCTCGCAATCTGCCAATTTTCTTGTAGTGAAGTGAGATTACCCTAAGGGTGCATGTGTGCAAAGTGTGTTTGATTGCATGTGTTTTGTATTTGATTTTTGGTGGTCTACTTGTTGGTTTTATCTTGCCATACACGCCTAATTACTAGCATTTACATTTGAAAGAGATAAATTGCAGAAACGTAAAGTCCTACGCTATTACAATATTTAAGGGATGGGGATACAAACTTATGAATGGGGCTTGCAAGTAAAAAATAATTCCTAAATTACTTTTACAACCATATTGAAATGCATAAGAATGTACAAGAAAATGTGAAATAAACTTGTTTTGTTTTAAGAAAATATTTTTGGTCTTTTGTTTTAAGAAATCAAAATAAAGTGTGAAGGAAATATTTTTGATGTTTTGATGATTAATGGAATGGAGAGCAATAACAAAAACAATGGAAAAGAAAAGGGGAATCAGCGTGTTGCTGATAAAACAAAGTCAGAGATTCTGACCCTGGAACGCTGCAAAACAGAAACATGTTAGTGAAAATGTATCAGGTCAGAATCTCTGAACCCATTGGGAACGTAGTAGTTCTCAGAAGTTCTGATAATACTGGCATCAAAAAACAAGCTTCAGAAGTTCTGATACCACTGGCCACAAAACGGACTTCAGAAGTTCTGAGACCACTGGCAGAACTTGGTTTCTCTCTCTATGCTAGTCAGAAAATCTGTAATTTGGTTATTTCTCCATAAAATAGAAGACATGCACAGAACAGTTATAGCAGGTACCATAGTGTTTCAGAAGATAAGAAATATCAGAAATATAAGTCAGAGGCAAGTATGCATTTGCTAATCCTAACTCTGAGTTCTATTTTCTTCAAGAAGCTCTGAACTGGTATATTCTTTACTTAAGCAGGCAGGTGCATGAAACCTCAGAGTATGTACAACATTAGAAACATGATATCTACATTGTTTTGAGCATATAAATCAGGTAATGCTTAAGTAATATGGTGAGGGTTAGCAGAAGCTTACCTTACAGCTAGAAGAAGTTCTGTGAACCGGAGTTAAACTCAACCCTGATGATGCTCTGAACAGCTTCTCCACGTGCTCAGTAAGCTGAAAGCTTTCAAATTCTGGGGATGGCAAGTGGGTGATGTTCTGATTCCTTTGAATAGATGGATGGAAAATGTATAGCGATATGAACCCAGCAGGTTAGGCAATTTCCAACGTGTGGATCAGAAACTGTGTGAATGTTTTTCAGGCAAGAAATGATTGAGAAAAAATGGAGTTTTGAATGCAGGGGATCAAAAGTTAACAAGGTTTTATGTGTTGCGTTTACGGTTCTTGGCACTCTTGTAATTTTGGCAGGGGTTCAAGACTTTTCTTTCTCAAAACTTTGATTTCTTTCACAAACTTTTCTGGGCCCCTTTTTCAGTGACCAATGGTGTTCTATTTATAGGCAAAGTTTTTGTATTGTTTGAAATGTAAAGTAGCACCAACATTATACGCTAGATGCTGACTTGCTCTTGAAGCAAGTTCCAAAAAAAGGTATGATGGCTGACAGTTTTTAGCTTAGGCTGGAGTAGCAAGCAAGGATTAAGGAAAAGTGAACCTACAAGAAAAATGTAGCGCATGGGCCCTTACCTAATCCTGCACAAAAGCATTTCTACACTACACGTGGAGAGATCCTTTGGACAAAGACTCAAAAGTGATTGTGAGCATTAATGAGCATTAAATGATGATGAGATTTGTTAAAATCAGAAATCCTGTAGTGTGAGATTTTGCATCATTGCTTAACTCTGGATCAGAAGTTCCATTTAGGACAAACATCCAACTTCTGATCTTCTTACTTTGTATCCTGTTGCCTCAGCAAGCTCTGAAGGATCCTCAGGCTTTCCAGTAAACTTCTTTGATTTGCCTCTGAAAACTCTGAACTTAGAGATTTTGTTTCAGTGTAGCACCCAATCTTCCGATTCTCTTACCTTCTGGCTCCAGCATATTCTGAAGGAGCTTTCAGGCTTCGTATTATGCTTTATTTCCTTCTTTGCATTACCCTAGAAAACTCTGACTGAACTTGCGTAGATGCTGAAAAGCCGTGTTCTGACTAAAGATTATATGTTGGACCAAGTTTACAACTTCCGACTGCTCCTGCCTGGAGGTTGGCTCAGAAGTTCTGAAGTGTCATTTTTTTCTTAAATTCTTTAGAAAACTTCTAAGTATTTAGAATTTGACTTTTCCAAGGTAAAATTTGATTTTTTGAACTTCTTGATGAAACAAACTTCATATTCCAACATGTCTTGATGAAATATGATTTTTGAGATTTGATTTTGATCCAAAAGTCAAAGTTTGACTTCTCAGCGTGTAAATGACCATTTTTCCCTTGTGAATAGCTTTCTTGGAAAGAAATGATAATACAAGGCTTGGAATTGTATGAGAGAAAACTTGAGAATCCAGATTGATTCCTTGAGAAAATGACAGGGCAAATTTCGGGGTACAACACTGTGATTTATCATGACATCATGCATCATAACATAGCATCCACTCTTATTGCACTAACCATTTCAAGTACCAAGGGAATTTATCTTTGTTCTATTTTGCAGGTCATGGCTTTCGTTCGTAGAAACACTATCCGAATCAGCTTTGTGAAGATACCTTCCCAAATCAAAGAGCTAGTATCAAAGGTTTCTGAAACTTCTACGTTCACTAAGAAAATTGGTCGACTTCTCAACCTGGTTACTTCAAACTTTGATGAAAAGATGATGAGTGTACTCTTTCAGTTCTTTGATCCCAATCACCACTACTTCACCTTTCCAGACTATCAGTTGGTGCCTACCATGGAAGAATTCTCTCGGATGTTGGATATACCCATTCTTGAACAGTTTCCTTTCACAGGTCTAGAAGAAGTTCCTAAGCCAGAAGTCATTGCCTCAACTTTGCATCTGAAACAGGCCGACGTGGTATCCAATTGGGAAACAAGAAGCGGAGTTAAGGGTTTTCTAGCCAAGTTCCTGATAGACAAGGCCCAACTGTTTTGGGATGATATGGATTTTCAGGCTTTTGAGG